CATTATCACTCAAAGTTCATAGTTTATACTAGTGTTCACTCTTGGTGCTGTACATTCTATGGGTTTGGACAAATGTATAATAAATGACATGTATCCACCATTATATCATATAGAGTAGTTGCAATGCCCTACAATTCCTCTGTGCTCCACCTATTCATTCTCCCCCTTAATCTCTGGCAACCCCTCATCTTTCTGTCTTCATAGTTTTGTCCTTTCCAGAATGTCATGTAGTTGGAACCATACAGATTGGGGCCTTTTCACATTGCTTTCTTTCACTTAGAAAGAGGATCTGAACAGACATTTTCCCAAAGAAGACATAGAAATGGCCAAAAAAAAGTACATGAAAGATGCTAAATGTCTCTCCATCAGGGAAATGCAAATCAAGACCACAATATCACCTCACACCTGTCAGAATGTCTATTATCAAAAAGACAAGTGAAACAAGTGTTGGTGAGGATGTGGAGAAAAGAAAACTCTAGTGCATGGGACTGTAATTGGTACAGCCACTATGGAAACAGTATGGAGGTTCCTCAAAAAACTAATAATAGAATTACCATATGAAGCAGCCACCCTACTTTTGTGTATATATCTGAAGGAAGTGAAATAATTATCTTGAAGAGATGTCTGCACCCCCTGTTTATTGCAGCATTATTCACAATAGCCAAGACACGGAGACAACCTAAGTGTGGATGGTACACAATAGTGTCTGAAATGTCATACACACACAAACATATGCAAAATGGAATATTATTCAACCATAAAAAAGGATATCCTGCCATTTGAGACAACATGGACGAAACAAGGGTATTTTGGTGAATAAAATAAGTCAGATAGAAAAAAACAAATACTGTACAATCTCACTTATACGTAAGAGCTTTAAAAAAAGCCAAACACATAGAACCAAAAAAGTAGAATGGTGGTTGCCAGGGAGTGGGGGTGGGAGGAGGGCATGAAAGAAATGGAGAGATGTTGGTCAAAGGCCACACACTTCACTTATTCACAAGATAAATTAAATTCTGGTTAATGTATAGCATCATGATTATGGTTAACAATACTGTATTGTATACTTGAAAGTTGCTGAGAGATCAGAGCTTAAAAGTTCACACTACACACACAAACACAAATTATAATTTATGCTTGGTGATGGATGTGCTCACTGACCTTATTGTGGTAATCATTTCACAATATATATGTGTATCATGTCATCGAGTTGTATGTCTTAAACTTACATGATGCTATATGTCAATTTTATCTCAATAAAGCTAGGGAGCCCGGCCAGCGTGGCTCAGTGGTTGAGCATTGATCTATGCACCAAGAGGTCGCCGGTTCGATTCCCAGTCAGAGCACATGCCCAGGTTGTGGACCAAATCCCCAGTGGGGGGCATGCAAGAAGCAGTCAATCGATGTTTCTATCTCTCTCTCTCTCTCCCTCTCCCTTCCTCTCTCTCTAAATTCAATAAAGATTTTTTAAATTTTTTAATAAATAAAGCTGGGGGGGGGTTAAAGGGGAGAAAAAGTGTTTGAGGTTAATTCCACATAAGATGGGAAAGGCAGTCACAGAATGTCACCACCCAAAGGGTTTCAGGAATTTTAAGTTGGCATCCCAGTGGACTGTATTCATTCTGAGATATGCTGTCTTTGGCCAGCACAAGTCTTGTTGTTTTGTTTTAAATTAATCCCACAGCATATAAAGTGCTGAGATTCCAGATTCTGGAAAAATGGGAGGATCTGACACAGCAGAGTCCATATGCCAAGCTGGCAATGGTTGGCTGGGATTTGACCAGCGGGGCTGGGTCTCCTGCCACAGCTCCCAGTTCCAGTTCTGAACACCCAGAGTTTCTCTGCGCTTTCCAGCTACCGGTGATTCCAAGTATTAGAGTTTAATCCCCTCACTCAACGTGTAGGGAAATCTGGGACTAGAAATGTCATGAAAATTGCCTAAAACCAAAGCCTATTGGAAGCAAAGTGAAGGGCTCCGGAGTCTCCCAACAGAGAGGCACAAGTCCAGCTGGGATGGTCTTTGAATGGCCGAGGAATCTGGCAGTTGTGGGCATCACAGGGTTTTGGTGAGAAGTTCAGGGTCAGAGCTTTGAGCAGGGCACTCTGCCCCGGACCCTCAGCTTCCTTGGAGGGGGCCTCCTCCTCCTCCACCACCCCACAAAGCTCTATTTGCGTTCATAGGAGTCTTCCCAGCACCCCGGGCTCCTCCTGAAGAAGTCACCTTGTGGCGGGAGCTGACTCTGGCACTGGCCTTCTCCTGGCCACCTGACGCTCAACTCCTGCACAGGCCACTCCCAGTGCGGCGCCGAGTGGGGTGCAGAATGCCTTGCAGGATGCTCCAAATCTCATCCGCTAAATCCTGCTACTGCGGTCCCCTTGACACCGGGGTGCGAAGACGCAGAAACCCCTGCAAGAGATCCACACCGCGGACTGGGAAAGCCCTCCACGGCGGCCCGAGCTCTGCGCGCCCGCTCCCTGGAGGCGCCAGGTGCGGGAGCCCAGCGCCCTTCCGCCTCGGCGCGGGAGCGGGCGGGGGCCGGGGCGGAGTTGAACGCCGGGCGGGGCGCATCTGGCTGGGTCTGCGACTGAAAGAGCTGCGGAGGCCGAGCGCCCAATCCTACTGGAAGGCGGAGACCTCCACGCTCCCGGGAAGCGCGCTGGGGCAATTAAGAGAGAGGGACACCCCAACGCAGCACCTTTGCAAGTGCAAGTCCAGGTCCCCAGAGCGGGAACCGAAGGGACCGGCCACTGAGCGCGCTGGAAGGAGGCGCCGAGGCCGGTAAGTGCTGAGGGCAGCGCGGTCCAAGGCTCCGTTGATAGGGTCGGGGACGGCGCCCGGGCTGGAGACGCCGAAGCCCACTTCTTCTCGGAGGGATCGGGGCTGCTGTGCCTCCCACCTCTCTGGGGATGCGCACGGGATGGCTCAAAGTAGAGGAGTTGGTGCGGGAAGAGTGTCCCAACCCACCGACCTGCTAAGACCGGGCAGAGGATGGTAAACCGAGACTCGGGAGTGTGGGCGCGGGTGAAGGAAGCCAGCCGGCGATCGCCAAATTGTAAAAAGCTGCTTGGAGAAGGGTGTACTTTCTTGAAAGGAGAACAGAAAGTGGGGAGCGTTTGGGAGGAAATTTCTGCTCACCATATCTACCCCCATTCCCAGTTTTCTTCCCACCCTGAGGTCCCCGCACGCTTTGCTTTTCGAATCCGAATTTCTGACTTGATTCTTCCCTCTGCCAAGGTGGCGCCCCTGAGGACCGCGAGGCCTTTCTGGGTAGTTAATCTGGGGAGAAGAGAGGGCAAGGAGTGCATCCTGTGGAAACGGGGCCGGGATCTGTCCAGTCCGGGTGTACGCCCTCTTCTCTGGTGTCCTGGGACTCGAGAGCCCGGGAGCGTAGTAGCCAAGAGGACACGAGTCCTGCTTCTCCGTCTCGGGCTGAGCACGTCTGCAGTCATGGGCCTCCCATTGAGTACCCGAGGCGACCAGGAGGGAGGACAGCCAGGCTGCGGACCCCCGCTGGGCCTTGGACTTCACCTCTGGGAAGGTTTTACCCTGGCTGAGGTAGTGTTCCAGCCAGCCTCCGTCCCTACCCTCCGGGGCAGCTCCTGCTCCTCGCCCTCCCCTTCCTCTCACAGGGCCGGATCATACCTCCTGTCCAGTTGGTCCACGTTTTGCTACTAGCATCCTGCAGCCCCCACACGTGGAGTCGTTTCCAGGTGTGCTAAGGGGAGGAGTGCAGGCGGTTCCCAGCTGGACCGCTGGGGGACCCCCTTCTGTTTGTTGGGGCTCCAGAGTTCTTTTTCTGACCCCTTGGAAGCCTTGAACCCAATGGGAACCTACCTCCTGAAGGCTCAGTACTTCAGAGATTTTATTTTCTTTCCTGTGGGCCTCTTGAGGACATAAAGGACAATTCTGTCCTCAGGCCTTCCCAAGTCCTTGCTGACAAGCCCCTGCCCCCAGGGGGGCTGTTTTCAGTGAGGCCCCCGCTGGAGCAGCTACCACTTTCAGAGGATACAGACCTTGGTGACAGGTCATGCATGGTGCTTCCAGGTCAGGGCTGATTCTGGGAGGGGAACTGGGGGCCTGGTGAAGGAGACAAGGGGGAGAAGGGAAGCAGACAAAGGATTTCTTTCTAAAGCTGGTTCTCAGAATGTAGGGTAGCAGTTGAAGAATGCCCTCCCATCCACATCCCCCTCCACCTGCGGAATTCTGGTTGGGATCTTCATTCATTCATTCCACAGATTTCTATCCAGCCCCCACTATGTGCCTGGGCTGGGCCCAGGAGTTTGGTTTACAGGAAGATTGGCATGCAGAGAGCATAAATCACTGCCCCGAAATGACTCAGCCTGTCCATGTGAAGATGGATTTGGTAATTTCCAAGTCTGTGGTTTGGCCAGGACAGAGAGAGCAGTACCCTGCTTTGGAGGAAAGACCCTGATGTATCCCAGTCCTTTAGCTTCATTGTCCAGATGGCATGAAATTGTGACTGTCATAGATACCTGAGCTCGCTGCCTGGAGCAGCCTTGGAAAACTTCCAAAAGACCCCTGTGAAGGGTCCCGGAGACGGAGGGAGTGATGTCTGGGCAGTCAAAGTGGTACTTTCCCCTGGTAAAAAAGGCAAATATACATGTTCTTCTTAGGTATCTTTGGAGAATCCAGTCCATCCTATGCCCATTCCCTCCCAATAGCTCAACAGCCAGTGGAGGATTTCCCAATTTCTAGATCTTGTGTCTCCTGTCCCCTGTACCCTGGGTAGTTCTGACTGTGGGTAGGCACTGAGTCTAGTTGGCCTATACCTGGGGGACTCTGTAGGAATGCTACCAGGTGTTCTCCTGCATGTTGTCCACTGGTTGTGTCTCCTTCCAGGATCCAGATGGCATGTTGACTATCCCCCAAGATGTGGGCAGGGTGCTAGTCTCACTGACCTCGTGAGAGCAGAAGGTCTGGACCCTGAGCTCAGAGTACTCAGACCCTAAGACTTCCACCCACCACTCCACCTACAAGCTTCACCATGGCCACCCAGAGTGGAAACACTACTTTTGCGCCCAACTTCAATCCACACCAAGACCATGCCTCTTCCCTCCCTTTCAACTTCAGTTATGGTGATTACGACCTCCCTCTGGATGAGGATGAGGACTTGACCAAGACTCGGACCTTCTTCACAGCCAAGATCGTCATCGGTGTGGCACTGGCAGGCATCATGCTGGTTTGCGGCATTGGTAACTTTGTCTTTATTGCTGCTCTTGCCCGATATAAGAAGCTACGCAACCTCACCAATCTGCTCATTGCTAATCTGGCCATCTCTGACTTCCTGGTGGCCATTGTCTGCTGCCCCTTTGAGATGGACTACTATGTGGTGCGCCAGCTCTCCTGGGAGCATGGCCACGTGCTCTGCGCCTCTGTCAACTACCTGCGTACTGTGTCCCTCTACGTCTCCACCAATGCTCTGCTGGCCATCGCTATCGACAGGTGAGGATGTTGGGCAGGGGTAAAGATGGGGGCTGGGCCAGGCCGCCCCTTTCCTCACTTCAGCTCTGACTGTTTGCATTGCTTCAGAAGTGAATGCTTGCAGATCTATCACTGGGCAAGATGAGACCTGGCTTCTCCAGTTGTGGCTCATATTCTCAAATGTGAGCAAGAGTGAGGCTTTTGAGCCCCCCAGCTCTGTGCCATGCCCCCAGATACTACCTCTGCTTCAAATATAGGCATGTTACATGACCATGAGTGGCACCAAACACAAAAGCAAAAGCAGAAAGTTTAGGCAGCTTACTACTTACAAACCACGTGAGACTTAACCAGGGCAGCCTCCAGGGAAAATGATTGTACCCAGTTTTTCTGTAACCACTACCCAGATCAAGATATAGAACATTTTCATCACCTAGAAAACTTCCTGGTGCCCCTCTGGCAGTCCTCCCACCACACACAACCCTGTCCTTCAACTTCACAAAAATGGAATTATACAGGGTGTACTCTTGGTTCTGGTGATGTTTTTATACAGCTGACTTTGAAATCAGGCAACAAGGCTTGTTTGCAGAAAAGAAAGATGAACAAGCTCCCTTTGCTTTTTGTATGCATTCATATGCTCATTTGCATACATCTGCATTCAATTTTCTGGAAGTCTTTGCTCTGCTATAGGTTTATAAAGTAAAACTTCTAATAGCAGCTTATGATAAATCTGACACGTTTTATTTATGTGAACACTGTCTGCCAGCAGCGGCTCTGTTTGAGGGGAGCAATTGGTGTTGGTGTCATGTCCTCTTGGTCCACCATTGTGAGCTGAGCCTCATCTTGATAATGTATTTTTTACTCATCTTTTTTTCCTTTTTGTCTCCTTTCAACCCTTTTACTTTTCCCTACTTCGCGGTGCTATTTAGGCTTGTTGTCCTTTTTATCAACCAGTGATTATTTATGATAATAAAATATACATACATAAGAGACATATTCCTTTTTATAACAAAATCTTTGCAGGAAAACCAATTTTGTTATTGCAGTTCTGAGGTCACCAGCCCTGAATCCAGTGTTTATGAAATGTACCCATCAGCCAACTGCAAAATTCCCCAGGCTGTCATTTAACACAGTGATACTGGTCAGATTCTTGGGCCCCACCCCAGCCCTGCTGAATGGGAATTCCTAGGTGAGGTCTCATGAATCTGCATTTGTATTTAATCCCCTGACAGATTCTGATGTTCACTCAAATGAGAATAATTACTGTCCACATCCCCTTTGTCCCACTAAAATCTTTTTGTCTATATAATGAAGGGTTTTTTGTTTGTTTGTTAATCCTCATGGAGGATATTTTCCCATTGATTTTTAGTTAGAGTGGAAGGGTAAGGGGGAGGGGGACACCAATTGGTTGCTTCCTGCACTACCTCAATGGGGGGCCAGGGATCAAACCTGTGTCCTTTACCCAGAATGGGACCCATGACCCTTCAGTCCACAGGCCGACACTAACTGCTGAGCCAAACTGGCCAGGGCTGTAGGTTTGTTTTTGTTTTTATTTTAATGTAACAGGAGTTTCTTAAGAAGCAACCATCCTGTTACAACACAAAGAGTAGGTTTTTTTCCACCCCAAACCAGCTCTGCCCCAGTCAGCTTCCAGCTCCATCAGCAGTTCCACCATTCTCCCAGTCACCCAAGCAGAGAAAATTACCAAATTTTTTGCCTTTCTTCATGTCCCACCCCCACCCAACCACCCATCCTTTGTGTTCAACCCTACACCAAGTCTAGGCAACTGTCTCTCCAACCTCATCTCTTAGTAAGCCACAGTTAGACCATCATAACCTGTCTCTTCACCACCCTCCTGACTATCCCCTGAAATTCATACTCATCCATATTAAGCATCAGAATATCATCACTGATGAGTCCTCCTAAAAGTATTTTATTGCTTACAAACCTCCAAAGTTTCCATACCTAACAGAATACATACTAAATCCAGAGTCTAACATTCCAGAGCCTTTAAATCTGTTAAATCTGTTTAAATCAGTTTGTCTTTGCAATCTCATACTGTGTATAGAGACACCTTTCTGTATGTCTTGCAAAAAGCATTGTATTTTAAGTGCAATAACCATGTCTTCTATCTTTCTGACTTAGTTGGTATACTCCCAAAATAGACTCTGAGACAAGGATTCATGTGCAGGTAGCACCCAGGAAGCACCTCTAGGGAGACAGAAAGTGAGGCAGGCATGGAAAGGCAGTCAATATAGGCTATGCTATTGAACAAGGTTTCATTATGAGCACCAGATGCTTATTCCAGCTGAGGAACTTTTGGAGTCACTGTAGATCACCTCAGAATTCTCCCAGGAATGGCAGGTGGAAGGGAGCTGGGGAATTTATATGCCAACTCTCAAAAGTCATTAGTGAGGGCTACTCTGAAAATGCCATTCAGGTAGCCTAGAAGACTCTGGAAGCCAGAGAAGACCTTCATATGAAGAAATGCAGGTATTAGCCAGTGGAAGTGTACAGGTGTACATAGAAGAGACTAGAGCAAAGGGATATGAGAGGGACACCAACAGCATCTGCTACCACATGGTAAATCACAACCGATTGCTGGTCCTGCAGTATGTTCCCAACCTATGTAATGGAAACATAAAGTAGTAGGAAATACAGACCTTGACCTCAGGGAGCTTTTCTTCCCACAAAACTAGAATAGTCAAGTGGCAAGTAAGAGTAACTTGGAGGAAGATGTGATCATTATGTTAGTGATATAATCTAGGAATGCTTCATGAAGAAGATGTTGATATTCAGGTATGCTATCCTGGTCAACTCCTACTCACCCATTAATGAAGGCAGGATTCTCCCACTCTAACTAGTGCAAGATGGCTGAACACACAACACCTGACACTGGACAGATAAGAGCAATAGCAATTAATTTATTTCATATAGTAACGGCCCAGGGAAAGAGGACACTGCACACCAGGCAGGGTCATGTGGGAGTTGCATTCAGATTAGAATGAACCAGCAGAGGCTGTGGGCAGCGGGCTTTATAGTGACAAGAGGATGTGGTGACACTTGATTCCCATGTGAAAATGTGATTGGCTTCTTCGAACAGTTTTGCCAACTGGCCAAGTGGTGAAAGCCATTAGGTTGAGGATTGGGAGTGCAACTGGTTCGGTGGATAGAGGAACTAGCAGAACAGGAAGCCTTTCCTGCTGGATGGAAGTGTGTATCTGGAAAGAACAGGAAACTCAGGACTTTGGGGCCCTGTAAGGCTCAAAGATTTTCAAGCAGCACATGAAATTTCAGGCCTTACAATACAGGAGCCTAATAAATAGCACCCCTCTTTCTCACTCGGGTTTTAAAGCAACTGAAAAATAAGGCAAAACATAAGATGGATTGCCAAACTCACTTTTGTTGTGAAGACGCTGATGTTGGATAATGGGGCTTTTATCTGTGGGTGTGGAGACCACTACATACTCAGAATTAGATTAACCTGCAAACCCTGACACAGGCAGGGTGGGAGAAGCACAGGTCTCCCTGTGCACTTCAGTTTATCCTGTGGTAAATATGCCTGTCCTACTAGGTATAACTATCAGAAGGGCTACATACTGCCATTTCTGGATGCCACACCCAGAAAAAATACAAGCTTTGTGTGTAGAGGGCCTGGAAAAGATGCTATTTCAAGTCATAGACATCCTTAAAGGAGAGTATTGACCTCAAGAAATACATCCAAGGAGAGAGATGGTAACAAAGACCTTGCTTTACGGTCCCTCCCACCTTCTCATCTGAGCTTGAGAAATCCCAAGGAGATGGGTGTAAAAGCTTTGTATCAGGAGTCTGGACTCTGGTCCCGGCACCAAGTGAGCTTGGGCAAGTCATTTACTTCTCAGATTCCTTAGATTCCACCCCAAGCCCACCCCTGCTCTGTAATGCAGGATGATATGGGGAGGTGCATGGGTGGGGTGTGGGGGGGTAGCAGAAAGCCCTAGTCCACTGCCTTGAGAAAGGCCCTCACCTCTCTAAGCTATGAGATATTTTTAATGAAAAGTTTTCAAAGTATTGTGTTCTAGAGCAAAATGGCAAGACTGAAAGCCAAAGTGATAACTATAGGACTTATAATAATAATAGGCCACATGTACTTATTGAACACCTACAACTTGCCAAGCATTTTGCAAACATTATTCAATTTAATATTCACAGCAGCCCTGCAAGGTAGGTGTCATTTTATACCATGTTGCTATTGAGGAAACATAGTTCAGAGAGACCGAGTGATTCACTCCAGACCGCAAAGCCAGCCAGGGGAAAAGCTGGGATTTATTCCACCTGTTTGACCCAAGTCCTATGCTGTTTCCTGGTAACCACCCCACTCCTCCAAATGCCAAATGATGTTGCTAAAATAAGACAAAGGTTGTTGCAGCTGGATAAATAGGAGCATGGGGACTCATTGTGACACACTGTCTGCTTTTGTGTGTGTTTGGGGTTAGTTAGAAACGAATAATGTTTTCAAGTACATATTATTATTGATGGCTTCCCTATCCTACCAGGTATCTCGCTATCGTTCACCCCTTGAAACCGCGGATGAAGTATCAAACGGCCTCTTTACTGATCGCTTTGGTCTGGATGGTGTCCATTCTCGTGGCCATCCCATCTGCCTACTTTGCAACAGAAACGGTCCTCTTTATCGTCAAAAACCAGGAAAAGATCTTCTGTGGCCAGATCTGGCCAGTGGACCAGCGGCTCTACTACAGGTCCTACTTCCTTTTCATCTTCTGTATCGAGTTCGTGGGCCCGGTGGTCGCCATGACCCTGTGCTATGCCAGGATCTCCCAGGAACTCTGGTTCAAGGCCGTCCCTGGTTTCCAGACGGAGCAGATCCGGAAGCGGCTGCGCTGCCGCCGGAAGACCGTCCTGGTGCTCATGTGTATCCTCACCGCCTACGTGCTGTGCTGGGCGCCCTTCTACGGCTTCACCATCGTGCGTGACTTTTACCCTAATGTGTTTGTTAAGGAGAAGCACTACCTCACGGCCTTCTACGTCGTCGAGTGCATCGCTATGAGCAACAGCATGATCAACACCGTGTGCTTCGTGACCGTCAAGAACAACACCATGAAGTACTTCAAGAAGATGATGTGGCTCCACTGGCGCCCCTCCCACCACGGAAGCAAGTCCAGCGCCGAACTTGACCTCAAAACCAGCGGCATGCCGGCCACGGAAGAGGTGGACTGTATCAGGCTGAAGTGACCCTCTCGTGTTTCACAATTGAAACCAAAAGCCAGTAGAGAAAAATTTACCAATTGCCAAGTTCACAGGCTGCATGCGGCAAGGGCAATTGTGTTCATGCCTCTCTGCCCTCAAGTTGCTGGATGCTTCTCAGTCATAGCATGCAACAAGACCATACACAAACCTCAACCGCTGACCTTTACTGATATCTGCTCAGCACCTACTGTATGCACAACCAATAAGACTAGACAGAAGTAACAGGAACTGACATTGATTGAACAACTAACTGTATGCTAGCCACACCAAGGAGATTGGACAGGACAACAGGAGCTGACATTTATTGATCACCTACTGTGTGCAAAAAATATTTAAATAACAAAACGAAATGGCAGAGACTTTTGGAATCACCAAGCTATATCTGGATATGTAGATGCTCAGATAGAGGCCACAAACAGTTATCTGGACTCACTCTCCATCTTCCTTCATTCTGTATCTCATCAGTGCAGGAATATCAATAAAATAAGGCACTTAGACTGGATGGAAATGTAAAAAATAAGTTTGTCAGAGTATGGGGTTTATAGCCTCATCAGAAGAGAGTTCATGCCATCAACTGAGCTTTCCCACTCAGCTCCTACTACCTCTCGAGGACATTCTCTAGGATTCTGGCTGCCAGAAAAGAACTTTTCTCATAGCCAGGCCATTGGTTATCTACAGCAGTGTAATTTCAGGAAAGGAACAAAAAAATCTTTTCCACTGATGCTTGAAAGCTCATCACTCTTTTGTGTGAAGACAGAAACCCTGAAACAAGGACCACATCCAGATCCTGATACTTCAGTGTTAAGTGTTTTAGGGCTCTAGTGTCAGGGAGGAAGGGGACAGAGAAAAGGGTGGAACTTGCCACTGGCAATGAACATAATTTGTGTGGCTGCTTTGCTAAGGCCTGGACCACTTTTCTAGAACAAATCCTCTTTTACAAAATGAGCTCTACTTGGACAGTGCTTTTTAACTATATGAGTAATAAGAATGGATAAGTGAGATGAATGGTGTGTCTGGACAAGGCAATCCCCATCCACTGTGGCTTATTATGGAGAAACACTCCCACTTTTTTATCCCTGTTTGGACCAGAGTACCCTGAACTCTTCACAATGCAGCCCATCTACACTGGGGCAAAAAAGGAATCCCTGTCCTGGGTCATAATCTGGAAGATTTGATCTCAGAGTCCCAGTGACACCCCCAGGCTTTCAGCATCCTGCAGTCCTAGAAGTGTTGAAAACCATTCCTGCATGTTGTGTGCCCCAAGGCTCATAATCTGTTGTTACAGATCTGTGGTGATTATGTGTATTTGTCCTCATTTCTTCCTGATTCATTCTGAAGCAGAGACTATACAAATGGTACCTGATTTGGGATTGGCCCATTCACATTTGGAAAATTCCTATTTTTCTGTAGAGAAAGGGTTATTTAGTGGTTTGTGTGTGGTTTCTTAAATTATTTTTTGTTTGTTTACTAAAGAGTGAAGTTTCCATTGACATTTTTTTCCATCACTACTCAGAAGACACCTGCATATCCAATCACTGCACCCTCAGAAAATGGAAACTCATTTTAATTTTAGCCAAAGCCAAATGGTTTATAAATTCTGATTTCACAAAATTACACAGTGTATTCTAATGTCAAGTAAATAACTATTTGGGGTTATCTGTATTTTGAAGTGTATAATAATAACTGTATTTGTATTTATTACCCCCTTCCTGACTCTTCTCCTAATAAGAAGATTCTTTAAGAGTAGACTGTAATAAATGTATCAACAGAATTCATCCCCTTTTTTCTTTTAATCTCAAAATGTACCATCTTCTCTTTATGTCAGTGAAAGAATTTTTGTAAATATCAGTGTGTATTTGTGATTTTCCAGTGAATAAAAATACTATGTTATTATCAAATGAAATAATTAATATGGATTCTTAACCACAGTGTTTAAGCATTTTCCCCACTAATCTTTAATATATGGTAGATATTTAGATATAAATAAAGTAATGGCCATTTAAACAGTTTTATACTGAAACAGAAAAGGAACTTCTTGAAGGCATTTTTAGAACAGTGGCAGCTCATACCAGCACCAGTCTCATCTTGGTTATATCCTTCAAGCTTACAGCCAGGAGTGTATTCATGCATGTAAATAAGCAAAGAACCACTACTCCATGCCCATGTTACTCCTTCATTTTAAAATTATCTTATTTGTTTAACGAAAACTGCGGTTTGCATGGAAATTGTTCATTCATCTAACTGGTGTTAAGGTAATTAATTGCACTTGTGTTTAAGCTTTTCTTTTCAAGACTAATTATTGGTAAGCCTAAGATACTTTTAATATGCTAAGATATATAAACATTTATACGTTATTTTATACATATTACTATATATGGAAAATTTAATCTCATTTGGCAAAAAGCATGCATTTTCTCAGTCAGAATAAAAGAAACGATGTCTTTGTGATGAAGCTATTAGAGATTTTTCTTTCAGCATCCAACATCTAGAATAAGTTGATTCTCAAGTTGAAGAAATCAAAAGATGGCTTTAAGCCCTTAGGGCATAAAAATCAATCTCAGACTTAGAAGGGAGAATATGACATGGGGAAAGTGATTAGAAAACCTAAGTGAGTTACATTTCTAGGGGGAAATGATAGCTTTGAAACTTATCTCTTCAGTTTAACCATTATTTCTCTACAAGGTTAAAATACAAACACACACACACCAGGACACCAGAATAGGAAAAGATCTTTTAAGCGCATATAACTCAAGTCACTCCTTTCTTAGGTAAGATCTAAATTCCAAATGAGGGAATGATTTAATGATACAGGGCTAATATGTGCTGGAGCCATAACATTGCCCCAAGATCCCCCTCCGGTTCAGTAAACTGAACTCAGTAACTGCCTTCCTTTGAGTCCAAAGGAGGGGTCCCTCTCTAAAAATGCTTAAAGAGCAATTTAAGCTGGTTTCTGACCTTGTGGGAGAATCTTAAGCTGCACAAAATATACCTTCCTTCCCTCTGGTAAGCAGAGTGCATCCCATTCAAGAGACTTTATAACCCAGACTCCAGGATTCCAGAGAAACGAGAGAGAATTACACCGGGACCAATCCAGTGTTCCTGCCTTTCTTTTCTTGAGTGAGAGAAATGCCCCTGTTGGTGGAGGTCTAAACACATATGATTTGACTGTACAGAGGACTGTTTGAAAGTGATGCTGGAGCCATGTGGGGCAGCATATTGTGATGAGAGGCAACTTGGGCCCCAGGAAAAGCAGGTGGTGGGAGAGGGGTTTGCTCATATTCAAAGACAAAGCAAGCCTGGAGCCAGAGAAGACAGAGAGTACATTCTTCACATCCATTACTACTGCCTCTTTCTATTGAGGTCCACCTACCAGGCACACATCACCTCTTAGGGTTACTTGAACCACTTGTTTCTTTACAGATGTTCAAGTAGTTCCAAATACAGTACAGTTTTTCCAAGAGATAAACTAGTATGGGGAAAAAAAAGTGACACTTTCTTCAGATATAACAAATTGGTTAGAGGTGAGGGATTCATTGGAACTTAGAAATAATAAGTAATTACTGAACAGAAAAGTAGGCAGGGGGTTTGTCCCCAAAAAGCAGGGAGGTCAGCCCCTGGAACAAAAGACCATGTATACTCAAGGTCCTTGTATGCCTTTGTTTATATGGAACCAAAAAAGACCCCAAATAGCTATAGTAATCTTGAAAAAGAAGAACAAAACAGGAGGGATCACAATACCGGATATCAGGTTATACTACAAAGCCATTGTAATCAAAACAGCCTGGTACTGGCAAAAACAACAACAACAACAAAAAACCACAGGCATATAGATCAATGAAACAGAACAAAGAACTCAGAAACTGACCCAAGACATTATACGCAATTAATATTCGACAAAGGAGGGAAGAGCATACAATGGAGAAAAGTCAGTCTCTTTAATAAATGATGTTGGGAAAGTTGGACAGGCACAGGCAAAAAAAATTAAACTAGACCACCAACTTATACCATACACAAGAATAAATTCAAAATAGATAAAAGACTTAAATATAATTCATGAAACCATAAAAGTCCTAGAAGAAAATGTAGGCAGGAAAATCTCAGACATCACACATAGCAGAATTTTCACTGATACATCATCTGAGGCAAGAGAAACAAAGGAAAAAACTAATTAATGGGACTATATCAAACTAAAAAGCTTCTGCATGGCAAAAGAAACCCGCATCAAAATGAAAATGGAACCTATTCTCTGGGAGAACATATTTGCCAATGATACATCAAATAAGGGATTATTATCCAAAATATATAGAGTACTCATACAACTCAACAAAAGGAAGACAAACAATCCAATTTAAAAATGGGCAGAGGACCCGAATAGATACCTCTCCAAACAGGACATACAAATGGCCAAGAGACATATGAAAAAATACTTAACATCACTAATCATCAGAGAGATGCAAAATAAAATGACTGTGAGATATCACCTCACATCTGCCAGAATGGCTGCCATCAACAAATTACCAAGGGTGTAGGAAAAAGGGGACACTAATACACTGCTATTAGGAATGCAGACTGGTGCAGCCACTATGGAAAACACTATGGTGTTACCTCAGAAAATTAAAAATGGAACTGCCATTTGACCTAGTGATTCCACTTCTAGCAATATATCAGCAGGTAGGGATCTATACATTTTTGTGTCCCACTTAGGGGCCATAAATGAGTGGACAAAAGCCTGGTGTTGGGTCAAAGAGGCCGTTAGAAGTGGGGTCTTTGCAATCAAGAACAAGTATCCAGAACAATAGACTACAAAAGACACAATGGGACCCCATATTCCTCAGCAGTCCATCCCGCAGTGGAGCCAGCAAGGATCTATAATCCATATAACAGTACATGATTCTGAGTCTTCTCTCTCCTCCAACATGAGGTCGTGGGAAGCTCCACCATAATGGGAAGGAGTAGTGGAAAGGGACTAAAATCCAAGAGATTTGTTTATTGGAAAGTGGGTGATTTAAACTGAAGAGAATCTATTAAAGTTCAAAAAGACTATTTTTCATCAATAGCTAAGTTTAAATTTAAGTTTGCTTCTCCACTTCACAATGAGACGAAGGCTCATGAAGCTTTGATCAAAGACAGAAAAGCCAAGAAGCCATGTTTTCATCCTGGCCAGTTTGGCTTAGCAGTTAGAGCGTCGGCCCTCAGACCAAAAAGTTGCAGGTTCAATTCCAACCAAGGGCATGTACCTCAGCTGTAATTTGTCCCCAGCCCTGGTCGGGGTTGTGCGGGAAGCAACCAATCGATGTGTCTCTCTTACGTCAATGCTTC